GCAAAGGAACCGGTGTGCGTAGCGGTCGCTGTGACGTCTTTCGGTTCGGCCGTCGCCGCCGCTCGCCGCTCACACGCCGCTCGGTCCTCTCCTCTCTCTTCCTCCCTCCCCCTCCTCCTCCTCCTCCTCCTTTATTATTATTATTTATTATTTATATATTCTTATATTATTATTATTATTGTTATTGTTATTATTGTTATTGTTATTATTATAAAATAAGTGTTGATATTGAGGCAGTAACTTAAATTATTAAATGTGGCAACTCATAATGTAATCATGTAATGCAATAGTTTTATGAAAGCAATATGTTCCGCTTCTATGAAATAAAAATGCTAGCATGATCGGGAACGTATTCGATACCAGGGGCTGTACTTACAGATAGTCTGGAACTACATGAGTGGTATTGCCTGACATGATACGATATTGATTAGCATACGTATTTTGCGAACTGTATTGTACCGCAGTCACTGTGTTTTTAAACGTATTACAGTACCCATTTAAAACATTGATATCACACATCATCCCAAATTTAAGGGGAGCACAAGTTAATACTAATGAACACCAGAATATTAAAGTTGTAAAATATATAACGATAATTTCTATTACCTAAAACGAGAGTTAATAAACGGAGACGTGCTGTTGCAGAAGTTAATGTGATCCAATTGCACAAATTGACGTGTGTTTTTTAAAAAAAATATGCTGATTGAACTACCACATAATTACAACCTTCACACCCGAGAAAGTTAATATTAATAATTTACATAACTTCACACTTGTCTTTCTGTCGTTTCCCTTTCTACCAATACACTTTCCATTTGTCTCTTAAAATGCCAAAGATAATGTCTCTATATTCTTCACACTTCTTTCTCCTTCAAAGGCTTTCTATGGACACAAGTCATACCGTGGATGTTTAGCACAGGGATGCCATTCCACTCCCGTTAACGTCTTTCCGGTTTTTTATGCTGTTAAGTTTTTCCTTTTTTCTGTTTTGATTATCTAGTTATGAGAAATGCTATTCAATAATGACATTTTTTTAGGATACTACTTCTTGAACTACTTTACATAGCTTACAAACACAATCATTAATAGAAGAATATGTGGAAATTGATTCAAAAACAAGGAATGTGCAAGATTCGAGGTGGTAAGCTTTCGAAAAGTATGGATACTTGTCTGTCCGATTGAGCTGACGTTTCGCCCGTCGTGTTGTGGCCTTCTTCAGATCTATTTTGCTCTATAGCTCTGATTATGCGATAATTCAATCAGCAGTGTAGCTCTGAAGAAGGCCCCAACGCGATGGGCGAAACGTCAGCTCAGTCGACTGAGGCGCGGCTCGCCCCAGGCTCACCCCGGGAAGCTAAGTATCCAATGACTCCGGCCGCTGAAGCCTACGAACACATCTTTCGAAGAATGTAGTAGAGATGAAAACCTAAACGGTTTCCGTTCGAATCATGGCCCGTGTCATAAATATGGATTTTATTTCTTCGTAATAAAAGGTTCAATGAAGAAAAAAAATATACACTTAAAATGAAATTTCAGAATTTGATCGTGAAATGGTTAAAGATAAATGTCTAAAATTATTTAACTTGCAGAGCTTGAGTAGTCACAAGATAAGCTACATCAGTCACAGCAAATTTCCCACTGTTCACATCTCGATGTTGTTGAAACAGTGGTTTATCTAGTTACTCATTGTGTCTTGTTTACATTGCGAAGGGGTTGAGGCAGTGACAAGATGAGGTACATTTTGACCAAAATCAAGATATTTATATTTACGAATGGGAGGAGTCGTGCTGCGGCTGGTGTGGTTTATCTTGTTACTGCCCCACGCCTTTCATAAATATGAACAAGACAGAAGTACGAAAGAAGCCTCCCGTATTTTTTTGAAAGGAAAACCGGACGCCAAAATGTCCCGTTTTTGTGACACTGACTAATCCGCACAAAGTGCCGACAACAATTTTAAATTTATCATAATGCATTCCGTTAGGTTTGCGTTAGATTATAAAAAAGTAAGCCCCAGTAGGTCATACGCTCACGTACCACGTAACAAGAGCGTTTTACAGACTATTGAAATCAAGAGGGGAGAGATTCACAGGTGTTTTTTTGAGTCAATCGATATCGTTATCGCAATCGGTATCGTTATCGATATCGATATTGTTATCGATATCGATATCGTTACCGAGAAATTCAATAATTCGAACCTTTTGCTTCAGTGAGTTTCTGTGCGACTTCGCAATCTTAGTTAAGGAATTCGGGCCAACGTTATTTTGAATAAAAGTGCAAATGAAATTAATGAGTATATTTGTTTAATGTTCCAATCTAAAGTCCTTTTTTGACATCGTTTATCTTCATTTTCCGGTTCGTTTTACTCAAGCATTTTCTTTATGAAATGAGGCTGGTCCCGTTCCGTCCCGTATTTTTAGTCAAGGAAATGTCACGATGCCGCGTTTTGTGGTTTTTGAGATGTGGCCACCGTCTTCGTTGAGGCCCTCAGTGGTGTCCTCAAGGTGTCGCTGGCGCCGGCTGGGGCAGGCTGGAGCAGCGGGTGCGGGTGGGTTAATGCGTAGGGCCCTATTGAATAGGCGACGGTCCCAAAGATTTAAACAAACGCTTTTATTTGTCCATGGTACGTAAAGCGTTATTAACGCCATTAGGCAAACTGCACATAACAGAGGCGCATTCGGGAGTGGCCAGTCGGCGCGGGTTTCTTCCTTCCTTCGTCGCCCACTCAGCGAAGCGGCGCCTTGCGGTCGCGCGTAACGGCGAGCGCAGCCCAGCGGGAGCGCCTGTCGGAAGCCTCGGCCCCGTGGCGCAATCGAATTCTCGAGAGAGCCGACGTCGCCCGGTCTTGATAACCAAAAAACGGGAATTTCTGGCTTTTTCTTGACTAACAAAATAGCACTCGTGCACCTCTCAACATTGTAAATTTGGCCCGTATTAGTTAATTAAAATTGCTTGCTAAGCCGCAGAGATACTCACAGATTCAGAAAGTTCGGATTATTGAAGTTATCGGTAACGATAACAATAGCGAAAGAGCACACACAAGCACAAATGATGCGATACCTCATTTTTTCCTTCTTAGACCCATCTTTCCCTTCTTGATTTCAATACTCTGAAACGCTCTTGCTACGAAGTAAGAGCAAGAAGCGTGTGCAAAGAGGTGTCGATGTTCACTTCCGTTACAGAACTGGTACTGACATACACAGAAGCTTCTGGGTTTCCCCTCGACATAACTCCTCCTGAGGGGCACCGCCTGAGCCAGGACAAAATCTAAGCTCCAGACCGGTCTCCCCACATGTGTGGGAGTGTAGTGCATATGGGTGTAACCGTGTGTAAGTAAGGGGTGAGGTTAGGACAAGGAAGGGGAAGGAATGATCCCGCGCTGTCTCTGGCTCATTTGTTAGAGTATTGCTCGGGCGTTGTCTTCGAATTGATCGGAGACACCCAGAAATCTGCCAATCAGAGCAGCTGGCCACAAGAATTCTCCTCTATACAGCGATCCGATCTATCTTGCTTGTGACGAAAATCCTACACGGCCTGAACCGAAACCTAAGACCTGGTCAGAGACGGTGCACTGACATCTGTTGTTTCTCTGCACTCTCTCAGCTGGACAGTTATTTCGAAGAATTGTTCGTTAGTAAGGAACTTAAAAGTTCTTCATCCAGGGGCTTTTTCCAGCTTTCAGATGATACCGATTTCGGCTAACCGCGCCGGGTACTCACTATGTCCCTCACAGGGACACAGATTAACCTTTACACTAGACACACAGCCAGCTCATAGGACTGTGGTGAGCAGACTCACAAGGCCTTACGCGATAACACACATACATGAAAGACAAGGGACTAACAAACAAGCCCACGGCGGGACTCGAACCCGCGACCTTCGGAGCGGGGCGCTGAGTGGGCACAGGCGGCTAGAAACGCCCGTCAAGCGCTTAGTAGGATATTGCGCCCCGTGGCCGCTACTCGATCAGTGGGGAATCGCTGTCTTCCTTTGCGTAAGCGAAGGCGTCGGCGGGCGCCTTTGAATAAGCGATGACTCACGATCTACTTACCCCCTTTCCGCAGGCCGCTTCGGAACAACAGCGCATAAAGGCCGTGCAGCTGCCTCCACGTAACTGTAATATCTCGGGAATGAGACTTCCCACTTCGTCCCCAAAGCCTCTGTGACACTTTTCCGACGGTTGCAGCTGCCCACTTCGGTGATGCTCCGAACGTCTCCTTCGATGAACATTTTTGCCGCCCCGCTCAATTTCGACGAAGCTACAAAGCTCGATCGACGTCAGTCGATATCACTCCATTCGTACATTCATCATTCACCTCACACACTCCATTCCTTCATTGATCATTAACTCCATTCCTATATTCATTGATCCATTCAGCTTTGAGTCCATTCCTACATTCATTCATCATTCACTCCATTCGTACATTCACTCCATTCGTACATTAATTCATCATTCACTCCATTTCTTCATTCCTTCGTTCATGAACTCGTTCCAATCAACCGTTCGCTCTAATCGTTTATCGTCTATTCATTCATTCGCTGTGTTCGTGGCCGGAGGAAGTGTGGGGAGGGGAGGGGTGCGAATGGAGGTTAACTGCGCAGCGCCACAAAAGGGCCTGGGGGGGGGGCGGAGCGCCGGCCGTTTCCGCCTGTGCCCGTCCACGAGAGGCCTTCGCCAGCGACGGAAAAGCGCACTTGCGCAGACGCTTGTCTGGGACGTTGGGAGCCTTACAAAAACGGCCTTTACTCCTTCCCTAACTCCAGATGAACGAAACGGGAGGCAGTCGGGACACACCCTATCAGGTGAACCACACTTAAAAGGGGGTTAGCTGAGAGGTGAGGGGAAGGGAAAACTGATTGCGGGATGCAGTCGAGCTATCCATTTTCAGGTAACGAAAAGCGAAAGAAGATGAGCTGGAAAAGATGAGAGAGGAGAGAAACGATAAGCGATAGAGACCAAATGCAGTGAGAGTGAAAATTATAACGCAAAAGTGACAACGAAAATGAGAATTAGCGATATGAAGAAAAATAAGAGAGAGAAGGAGGGAAGTAAAGTGAGAATGAATGAGAAAGTGAGAAAGAGAATTAGAAGTAAACTCGCAGATGGTAAAATTATAGGTTCTTCTTGATATTGAGAATCGAATTATATTCCATTTCCTATTAAATTCTTTATTTCATACGTTTCTCTGAACAACACCAGCTGAATGCTGGAGCAGTACCCTAAGAAGCGAACCACGGACCACTCGCGGTCTTTCCTTCCTCTTCCTTGCCCTATCCTCACCCTCTACTTACACACGGGTACACTCACTACACTAGCACACGTGCCAAGTCATCTGTCGGGAGCTTAGAGCTTGTCCAGGCTGGGGCGGTGCTCCGCTGGTGGGAGATACCTAGTTGTGGGAAACCTCGCTACCCGACGGTAGGTCTGCGCCGGATCACGGCATCCAGCGGGGGAAGATCATGTCACCTTCCGTGGAAATCATGTACTATAATTACGGGACTGACGATTTAGCCGTTGACGCAACCGGAATCATTAACAATCAACGAATTTATTTCATATCAAAGAATGTGAAAGAAACATTAATATAATTTGATTGCCAATAAGAAGAGGAACCCATAATTTTAGCAACCGACACATTTACAAATCATTACTTTGAAGAATGAACACGCAGATGTATCAGGTTCCGTAACTTTGTTGCAGAAAGAAATATCGATGGAGAAAGCTGTTGTGCGAGAACCTTGGATCCCGAAACAAGTGGCTGCAGGGAAGAAACAAAAAAGTAAGTGGAAACAATTGCTTTCAATTGCGATTCCCTTTTTACGTCCTTTGTGAACAGGGAACTTAGTTCGCCACTTTTGAAACTGGTTTGGAAACTGCCCCCGAAAAGGAATGATATGTTTTTCTTGTTAAATTCTTCAAACAAATTGTTACTCTCCGGAAACAGTACTTCATTCATAATATTTACTCTAAATATCAAGCCCATAAATTGGTCTCAATCGTTCATATTTTCAATGTAAAGTTCTTTGACAGAATACATATAGCACTCCTAAGGTTTTTTAACACAAGAGGTTAACTGCTGAAATTTAACATTTTATTTTCTATTGTAGAAAAATGTCTTTCTGTGTCTGATGTGGATTGTTTACAAATTAAAACGATGTTAGAATAAACTGCTCAAACAGAAATGAATGTACACGATAGCAAAATTTGTTACAAATATGGTTTCGTGACATTCTTTATGTCGTTAACCGTTTCGCAGTACAATATAATTTCAGTAAATTTTGTACATTTGTGAATGGGAAGTAATGAATGGTGATTGTTTTTAATGGAACTTCCTAATTGTTGAATATGACAAAGATATACACAAATCGTATGAACAATGAATATTGAATATTATGACAAATGAATTTTCATAGACGCACTTAATCCTCCGATTATGTTTACTTATTTTTAACACTGATGGTGATTGTGTTTTGTTTTATTTTGACGAGGAAAATAAAACCATACAACTGAATGTTTACGAGCAGCCATTTTTTTTCTCGCAACACTAACGAAGTCATCATTCATGAAGGATCCTTTTCATAGCAATCAAATGTTTCCGGATCAGACAGGCACTCTATTTTTTGAGCTTTTCGCCTGTCAGTATACATTGCGCCGTTTTAATCTGTGTTGGAGATTCAAATCCCATCTACAAAATAATGATATCCGTTGCCCAGAAGGAAAATAAGGGGGATGTATAGATATTGTGAGAAGAGATAAGAAGCAGATAGATAAGAACAAGAATACAAACATCTAAGAAAATAAGGGAGCATGTCAGGATCTACTTCACCCATATGTACATTAAGTTTTGAAAGTGTTATTTGTAACATTCGTGTTACACGCTTAACCAAAGTACTTATCTAGCATTTCTTAAGGAATACGGTGATGAGTTTGTTTCGCCATCCCTTTTAGATTAGTAACGTATTTTGAAACTGTTCCATATACTGTTGTGAATGGATCCAACTGTTCTTAGATCCATTCACAACCGGAAGGTTACAGTAGCGTCCGTAAGTTTGTTCTCAAATTATATAATTATATTCTAATGGAAAGTGCTGTATGTCATTTTCTCATTGAGGTTTGCCTTTGTCTGGTCTTGTTATTCTGTCCGCGAGTCTTTGGCTTTGCGCTGCTGGGAGATGTGCGAGGGTGCGGTGTGGTTGGAGGTCGCACTTTGCACCACTGAGTTTGCACCCCGGGCGGTCCTTGCGGCATTCGTAGAGGAAAAGCAAACCCTCTTGTTTTCCCGACCGGGAGGTCCTAGGGTTGAAGTCTTGACGGTGGTAGGAATTTTTACTCTGGGGCTTCATAGCTGGCTCGAATTCAGCCACTGCCTGGAGGGGAACACTAGCTGTCGGCTGTTCTGGGCGGTGGTTGTTCGTGGTTTCTCCAGTCAACACCAGGCGAATGCTGGAGAATGAAAAACTAATAAGCCAGGGATAGATGGCGTTTTTTTCCTCTCATTCCTACTCTTATCCTCACCCCTTTCTTACACTTAAATGCACTATACTTGCACACATGTCGGGAGTGAGGAGCGAGGAGCTTAGAACTTCACCCGGCAAGGACGGTGCCCCGCTGGTTGGAAATAACTGTTTGGGAAAACTCCACTAGCCGATTGGTCAGCGCTGGATCTCATCGCCACCTCCCGAGGAAAAAAACACGCACTGCACTTACGGACTAATCACATTAGCGGAAACACAAATCTGTCCCTAGCCCGGTCTGTCCATGTGGTGGCCAAGGGAGCTCCTTCGCCATCCAAATCACACCGTCTCAGCCCCCTGGGAACCGTTCGCCTGAGAGGGGGCGTTGGGCGATGTAGTAAACGTGTGCCGCCCCGTATATAGGCGCTGTGTGGGTCTTCTGCGCGCGCCCGCGAAGGAAGCGTGGGCGGCGACTAGCGGCCAGCGCCCCCCTCCCCCGTCCCTCCGCAGCGCTCGCTTCGGCACGCGACCGCCCCACCTCCCTGCCCCGCATCGGGAACTCGGGCGTAGGCCGACTGCATCCGCGGTCAAATATTCTAAGCCGTTACACCCCTCCCCCAAAAGGCATTGCCCGACTTCATCCCGCGGTCAACTTTTCCTAAACCGTTAATCTACCTCTCCCAAAAAGCGATTCCCGACTGCAACCCACGTCAACATTCTTCAGCCGATAACCTACCTCCCCAAAAGGCATTGCCAGACTGCATCCCGTGGTCAACTTTTCGTAAACCCTTTACCTTCCTCCCCAAAAAGTTATTGCCCGATTGCAACCCATGGTCAAATATTTTTAGCCGTTATGTAACTCCCCAAAAGGTCATCACCCGACTCCATCCCGTTCTGCCTTCCTACATAGTGTGAGCCACCTTTCCCGTTCATCACATCTTCATGTCCTTTACATCAGCATTAGGAATTTTATGAGGTAAATTCAATCCACACAGTCGGAGATCAGAAGTATGTAAACAACAATTGATTTCCGAAATTAAGCTATTTCTCCGCCAGAATAAATATTCCTTAATTTGTCTGAAAATCTACATATTCATTATTTGCATCTACTTATTCAGAGCTGTCTGACCTCAAATGTTGCAGCAAATTACATAAGCCGCAACGGACACACAATTTGCATTGATTCAATCTTTGCAGTACACAAGACAGTAATAACTGATACAAGATTTCGGTGAATAAAGTTTCTATTTCTGACATCCACCATTCCGCGTAGAGTATTGTAGTTTCAGTACTCCATGTGGTCCATATTGTTAGTGGTAAAAAATATTACACTGAGAAAAATCGTCGTTATTTCTAAATAAAGACTTGGTGGCAGAACCGCGAAGGAACGTAACTGTGTATTTAAGGGGAGGCCACCTAATGAAGTAAATGTGCGGGCAGGTGGCCTAACGGGGGATCAGAAAAGCAAGAGGTCGTCCTCTCACTTTAGAACGAGAGCTCTCGGAATTAGAATCGGTGACTTCAGCCGCGCTCATTGTAAAGGTCCATTACAATCTCTATGCAACATTACGGACTCTGGGTCTTTCACCATGGTAACCGCCATTAAAACGAAAACTATTCGGTGCTGGTTGTGGTCTGTCGTTACAGAAGACACCACCACCGTTACACCTCGCTGTATCATTGTATTCGGCGCCCTTAATTGAAACATGACGTCACATCGAATAAAAGGTGTTGCCATTGCCAACATCTTTCTTTACAACTTATAATATCAGCTCATAGCCATTGCAGTGTAATTTGTGACTTCCGAAAGACAGTTCTGATGATGGCTAAGATGGCGAAAGCTGCTCATGCCTTTTATATTATCATATATTCATATCACAGATTATATCATTCGTATCATATTTATTCAGAAAATGAAAATTACATATGCTTCTATTAAAGTTACATAAAATAGGTATTTTGCACCACCTGTTGTAATTGCTTTTGCATCTACATAAATATGTGACATTTCTCTCTAAGAGATCTTACAAAGAATTGATCACGGGCTTCATTAACTGATAACAATTTAGAAAACCAGCAGAAGGTGTGGCATCCCTAAAATAAATATAGATATTAGAAAATTAAGAGAAGAAACAAATGTCGCATTAATTTAGACTCGAGAGTTATTTATATTGAGTGACAGAATAACCATGAAGTTTTGTTCACTTTGTATTCTATTTACGTCTTTAAAGAGCATTTTTACCAAGAATGTCCCAGCGGTCTCTCTGTAGCGTATCATCAATGTAGCTTCTGAAACAGTTTGAGTTGTGCAGGCCTGTTTTAAACAAGAGAACGAATATCGTAAGCAAAACCACGAAATAAGTGGGGTGGGTGGAATCCAGAAGTCATTTCGTGTTGTAATAAACGTTGACGAAGAATGAAGCATTCCTGGAAGCGCATTAGGCTCTTGAATTCTGTGTTCCGAATTCGGCAATTAGTGAAATTTGAAGGGCCGGTTCGGGTGCGCGGGGTGCGTGGAGGACTTTACGACTTCCTGCTCTGCGGAGTGGACG